CTCCCTTGGTGACGTGGCAAAGGGATCTCATTATGATATTACCGCCCCTTAATATGTAAGTTTACACCCACAGCGCCGTTATTGTGTACCAGCTCTAATGCCATGGCGAAAGTTTGAGCAAAACATGCTAACTGTTCTGTCATTGGCTGCACAGACGAGCACAGAACAGTATTTAGAGTCCCAGCCTCAGAGGAGACAAGAGAGCAGTGGATTTATTTATTTATTTAATGTATATTTCTGCTGGCACACAGATCTAAAATAAACATGCAGTTTATTTCCCAGCTCTTTACCTTCACAGACATAACCGACTGTTTTTTGTAACTCATGTGTTTATAACATAAACGTGTGTGAATGAGAACTTAGTTTAGTACTCACATGCTCTGACAGCCGCTTTCTGTCCGTGTGCTTCGGATGTGTGCTCTCAGAAAACCGTATATCAGACGTTTAAACTCATATGGTTTAAAACGCATGATTTCAGAGCGATAAACATGATAATCAGAACCAAAACAGATGTTTTTTAACAGGTACGAGCTGTAATGGCGCAGCTCTATTCTAGAAAAAGGGGTGGGGAACAGTAGCTCATTTGCATTTAAAGACACAGGCCCGAAAAACAGCGTGTTTCTGCTTCCATTCAAAATAGGCATTTTCAAAATTATATAATAAATAATCTGTGGAGTATTTTGAGCTGAAACTTCACAGACACATTCTGGGGACACCAGATTTATATTACATATTGTAAAAATATGTAATATAATAATAAATATGCATAATCTGTCTCCTTTAAGCTTAAATTGCAATTAAATGTAATCACTCTCATTTTAGAAGACTACTTACACTACTATAAGTTAAACTGAAAGAAGAACTTATCAACCTGTTGTGTTTGTGGATGAGCCAAGGCAGCGTACTGATCACACTTGCTGACGTTCCCTTTACTCGTTGGAAACAGCATAAACTACACTCTTACTTTAGCGTTTCTTCTCCCGCGTGTTTATTGACTTATTCAACAGTTTATCGTTTGTTGTAGACTGTTCTAGCCGCTTCTGACACCATGTTGTGTTCGTGGATGAGCCGCGGCAACGTACTGATCACACAGCGTAGCAGGTACGTAACTGAACTTGAAAACTCGCCAGTACCAAACCCCCTGCTTAAAAGCGTGGCTCCTCAATAGCAATCTCAATCTCAAATATCTAATCAGATATCACTACACAACCTTGGGAAGTCACTGGTGTGTAAAAAAATAAGAGAATAAAAGATTATTATTAAATGTATTTATTTTACTTATACTTCACTTTAGAAATGTTTTTAGGAACACACTTGCTTGTATATGCCAAACTACCTCTTGCAGAATGTTTCATTTTTCTTCCACAGTCCATCTGAGATGACAGCGCAAGAGCTCACAGCAAAACAGGCAGTCTGAACACTTTCTGTGCCTGGAGTCCCACAGGGCCATTAACTGGTGTGTGATAGTATTACGACAGCTTCCAAGACAGAGGAAGAGTATTCCACAGTGATAATTTGAAAGAAGACTGGGAGAGGAAGTGTGTGGGTTGCAGAGAGAGAGAGAGAGAGAGAGAGAGAGAGAGAGAGAGAGAAGATGCCAGGCTCCTTTGGTGTTACTTCAGAAGAATGATGACATCTTCAAATCATCTGATGCATTTAAGATGATGTAAGTACACACTTACAGTGCTTCTGGCACACGTGAAACATACCAGTACGCTTGACTGTACGCTTGTGGCAGAAACGGATAGTGAAATCAATACTTTAAATAGATTTATAGATGTACACACAGGTCTTTACAGTATATAATTTCACGCAATAACTCACAAATGCAGTCGAGATACCATTGCTTTTACTTTGTGTAGAAACAGAACTTAAAAAAATATTCATTTAGCTGCATAAATACACCACAAATGTAATAAAATTCCATATGGTCCATATTCACTGCTGCTCTTGTGGAAACTGAAATATGCTAAATTTGTCGGCAGAGAAAAATTGCAACTCTTTTATATATCCAGGCAGAAGCAAAAAAGCATGCCTGCTTGCCAACCAAAATTAAATAAAGCCTTCAGAGCTCTGTATGTAAATGTAAAAACTACAAGGAGGCAGTCTTTACACCCATGTTTGAAAAACCTTATTGAGGCCGACAGCTAAGCAAAAGGACCCATAAATAAATGACTTGTTTAAAAATACACACTATTGTAAACAGTAGAGTTCTGTTCCCTTGGAACTGGAATCATGGCAGAATATCATGTGAAGTCCACTTCGCAAGGCACTTACGGTTGCATAAGCCAATGCTTGAATGCTGCTGCCTAAACAAGAGACCTCCTTACTGAATTGAAAGTGTTGGCTGGTGTCACCATCTCGTGAACGCGGCGGCAGATCTCCACCAAATTCGGCGGATCCCTTCAGCTCGAGGAGCCCTCTCGAACACCACTCTCTACGCGTCGGGAGCCCCCCGGGATCGCCAGATCGGTTAGCGCCCGATCGCGAATTTAACCACCTGGAACTCCCGGACCCTGGGGGCTATCATTTGAGACCACACTCATACACTCGATTCCTCGAGCTGAAGGGATCCCCCGAATTTGGTGCAGATCCGCCACGCTGTTACTGAGATATGGCCGTTCAAAGTTTCAATGGTATTCCATACATTTAAGCTTTAAAGTGTTTCATCCAGGTCGCCAGTAGCAAGCAATGGAGTGTGCTCTGCTGGACAAACTACATAATTACACCATGTACAAGCATTTTATCTGCGTTTTATGTTCTGTAAAAAAAATTTCATATCGGTGGAATATCGGCGGCATATTCGCCGATACCGATATATCTGCGACAGGCTCATATCGGCCGATAAAATCAGTAAAACGATATATCAGTCGGGCTCTAGTTTTGTAATTAAACAATCTTCACTATTAGGCTACTCGCTCACATGTTCCTTCAAATTCCTTCAAATAAATATAATCTTACAGTGCTACTTTATTTCACTTCAGAATTCTACATCTAACGAGCTGTAGACAAATGACAAATAAAAATTACAGTTATTTTACAGTCTTTATCCATTCAGTCAGATTTTGTACTGCAAAACATTCATGACAGCTGGTGTCTATGCTGGCAAATAATAATGGCTACTCAACATGAAATAAAATATAAATAATTTCAATAGAACGGCCATTTAAAACCAAAGGGTCCATAGTGTGCATAGTAAAGCGGTCACTGACAATCATTTTGGGTGGGAATAAATGTAAACAAAGATATTGGATACCAGTCGTGTCTACAGTGAATGTAAACAGGCGGGCCAAAAAATCAGATATGGTCATAAGTTTGGATCTGTGCATTAAGACTTGCAGTGTAAACGCAGCCAAAAAATGAACCTAGACAGCATATAAAGTACAAACCCAATTCCAAAAAAGTTGGGACACTGTACAAATTGTGAATAAAAACAGAATGCAATGATGTGGAAGTTTCAAATTTCAATATTTTATTCAGAATACAACATAGATGACATATCAAATGTTTAAACTGAGAAAATTGATCATTTTAAGGGAAAAATAAGTTGATTTTAAATTTCATGGCATCAACACATCTCAAAAAAAGTTGGGACAAGGCCATGTTTACCACTGTGTGGCATCCCCTCTTCTTTTTATAACAGTCTGCAAACGTCTGGGGACTGAGGCGACAAGTTGCTCAAGTTTAGGAATAGGAATGTTGTCCCATTCTTGTCTAATACAGGCTTCTAGTTGCTCAACTGTCTTAGGTCTTCTTTGTCGCATCTTCCTCTTTATGATGCACCAAATGTTTTCTATGGGTGAAAGATCTGGACTGCAGGCTAGCCATTTCCGTACCCGGATCCTTCTTCTACGCAGCCATGATGTTGTAATTGATGCAGTATGTGGTCTGGCATTGTCATGTTGGAAAATGCAAGGTCTTCCCTGAAAGAGACGATGTCTGGATGGGAGCATATGTTGTTCTAGAACTTGGATATACCTTTCAGCATTGATGGTGCCTTTCCAGATGTGTAAGCTGCCCATGCCACACGCCCTCATGCAACCCCATACCATCAGAGATGCAGGCTTCTGAACTGAGTGCTGATAACAACTTGGGTTGTCCTTGTCCTCTTTAGTCCGGATGACATGGCGTCCCAGTTTTCCAAAAAGAACTTCAAATTTTGATTCGTCTGACCACAGAACAGTTTTCCACTTTGCCACAGTCCATTTTAAATGAGCCTTGGCCCAGAGAAAACGCCTGCGCTTCTGGATCATGTTTAGATATGGCATCTTTTTTGACCTATAAAGTTTTAGCCGGCAACGGCGAATGGCACGGTGGACTGTGTTCACCGACAATGTTTTCTGGAAGTATTCCTGAGCCCATGTTGTGATTTCCATTACAGTAGCATTCCTGTATGTGATGCAGTGCCGTCTAAGGGCCCGAAGATCACGGGCATCCAGTATGGTTTTCCGGCCTTGACCCTTACGCACAGAGATTGTTCCAGATTCTCTGAATCTTTGGATGATATTACGCACAGTAGATGATGATAACTTCAAACTCTTTGCAATTTTTCTCTGAGAAACTCCTTTCTGATATTGCTCCACTATTTTTCGCCGCAGCATTGGGGGAATTGGTGATCCTCTGCCCATCTTGACTTCTGAGAGACACTGCCACTCTGAGAGGCTCTTTTTTATACCCAATCATGTTGCCAGTTGACCTAATAAGTTGCAAATTGGTCCTCCAGCTGTTCCTTATATGTACATTTAACTTTTCCGGCCTCTTATTGCTACCTGTCCCAACTTTTTTGGAATCGGGTTTGTATATAATGTTGAATCTACACATTGCACCTTTCATAAAAATCACACATAAAATGCTGTAAGAAATTGAAATATAATTATTACTGATGTTATTAAACCTGTTTGCTGAAATTTGGAGTGGTAAATTTTGGTTTACATTACATGACTTTGAGGTTAGAGAAGGAAAGGACAAGTGCTGCTTGCTTTGGTAGCTCCAGTACTCACCTCAATGAGTTTACGCTCATAGTTGGCAGCCAGTTCCTCTATATCAGCTACAGACCGATTTTGTGGGGCTGGAAGGGGACCGTCACAATTCCTTTGAATGGTTAATGCTGGGAACAAAACGTAACACACATTAGGAAGTGCAATCAAATGAAAAAAATTCAAAACAGTCCTTAAATAAAATAAAATACATTTAAATATAACCCAAACATTTAAAAGGATGTCTTTGTATAAATGTTAAAATACCACCCGTTTATTGTGCATAGTCAAATAAAAAGTGTAAATGTTGCAACACTGTGTTTCAGTGGTCGACTTCCAGCACAACCAATGGCATGAATTTGGGGCGGTATTATCTGTTTGATGAACATCGAAGACGATGCAGTATAACATATCTGGAAGCAATTATTTTTGCAATCTGCAGTTTGGTTGCCCTAAAGGTGAAGAAATTACACACTTCAGCTTTATGGCAAGTTACAAAGATTTAGTAATATGATTATGTCTTGTAAAAGTTTGGGAAAAACAATCAAATCTGAGATGCTTGTTGTTCACACCAGCAAACTTGGGCTTCCTCCAGTGCTGCGGAGCTGTAGCCTTTAAATCCGGAGTAATCTAGTTTTAGTTGAGCTGCCTGTGACGGCTGAGATCCGCTGAGTTCATAAGCAGCAGAACAGAATCTTTTACCAATTGAAAACTCAATTAAAATCTGCAAGTTTTCACAACACAAATGTTGCTTGAGGCACCACAGGACAGCAGAGACGAGGAAAGCAATAAGAACATAAACACAACCCTGGACCTGGCCGACTTTCAACTGAACAGCTGTTAGACTCTCTCATTTCTTAATTCTCAAAGGAGAAAGAAAATCCCGATATTTCCACGGCGAAAACAAAATTACATGCAAAAAGTTTTCTTTTGTGAAAAGCCAAAAGATGTTTTTGACCAAGAGAGGATGTAAAAGTCACAAATTGACTGTCACAAATGTTCTTAGTCAGGGCAAAAGCAATTTTGCATGCTAAAAGCCTAGTGTGACCACATCTTAACACCAATTGGCTGATAAAGGGTGGCTGGATCATCAGAATAGTGGAGATATGCACACAAAGGGTCTGGAGGGCACGAATCTGCTGGGGTAAAAATGACGGCGACGAGGAAGTGGTGCTCAGCTGAAAAGTTTGTCATAAAGCCATGAATAAATCTATGGAGTACAAGTCAACAATCCTGAACATTATCAGCTCACCCGCACACAGCTGCCCGCCACTTCAGCGCAGAGTCTTATCAGTGCTCTGCCAATAGTCTACGTGTCCCACTAACTCACACACCACTACTGTCAGCAAGAGTGGACTGCACTCAAATCACTGCCAATGTGCAGCTCAACCTTGATTTCAAGTCCACCACAGTCATGCATGAATGTATTAATAATAAATACATTTATATATAATTGTTGTTTGTGAAGTTTATCACACTGTTTGAAACAGGAAAACTATACACAAGAGTTTACGCTGTGTCAGAGAATTTTTAAAAAGTAGGCTATTCTGACACGTCACGGCAGATTTCACATCCAATATGGGGGCCAAAATTCAATAATCAGTTGAGAAAATGATAATCAACTAAGAAATAAAAATCAACTGAAAATCAACTTTATGTGAACAACAGGAAGATTATCAACCACTTTGTAGAAGCTAATGGGGATCCAAATAAACAAACAACAAACTGAGAAATAAATCAATTGAATGACAAACTGGTGCATCATTTCAATGATTACCGTATTGACCCGAATATAAGACAAAGTATTTTTTTATTACTAACTAACTCTCTATTAACGATTTCATCACAAGGCAGTAAGCAATCTACTGTCAATCTCTGCACCAATGTTATACAAGCTGACATTTGTTGAGACCATTTCATGTATAAGGCTTAAAAAGCAATTTGGGTCATTATGATCATAAAAAGGTTATACAATTTCTAAATTGTAACTGCAGATTAGATGTGTGTCTATGTAAGGGTAATTTATGTTAGGCAAAAGTTATATTTAATTGCTATGCCAAACCGAAGGACATCTAATACCAGTGGACCTCATTTCTATTGCCTTCATTGACTAGGGCATGTTGGGAAAATTGATTTGTTTTGTTTTTAATGACTGTAAAGATAAAACACCAACAACAGCTCCCTGACGGTCTGGGCTGCCCTGAGAGACTCATACGGTGGTGTGGGTTATCATTATATTTTAATATTTTCTTTATGAAGTTCAGAGGGTTTCAGGTGGTTCTTTTTTAACCCCAATTCAAAAAAGTTCTTAGAGAATATGCATCTCAAGAAACCAAGAGGGGGAAAAAATCGTACAAGTCTACTATGTGAGTGTATGAACGTAGGTTTGACAGACATATGAAAAATTAGTGTCTGTTTACACTAAAAAAGAAAAAAACTAAGAGTTAATGAGAGTGTTGATCAAAGTAATCTCCATCCATTTTCCCATCATGCAGCAGTTGCCTCCTGTGAGACAGCTTGAGATAACAACAGCTTATCATTCCATCAGCGAGCGATCTCTACTAAGTACAGGATGCAGTCAATTTGACGCCCAGACTTGAAATTGCATACCAAACACTCCTTGCACCTTAGAGGGCAAACGCAGAGGGTTCTGAAGAGCAAGTTTGCTTATGATCTTCCAACTTACACTTCTGAACCCCTCATCCCTCCATCAACATCTGACCTCAATCAGACTGGAGAAATTAGCCAACAATAGGTGATTTAAAAGACAGAGGAGGCACAGACTGAGTTGTTCTGCTTTTCTCTTTGATGTAGGGACCTCAATAAATTAATCTTGTGTGTGTTTCAGTAAAGGTACTCTACTGGGTTAATCTTTTTTCTGCAATTTTGAGTTTGCCATGGCCATTGTTACCATTTTTTCCCCTGTACCTCACTATTTTTATATCACAAAACAAAATCCTTGAGGCAATTTCTAAATCTAAATATGACGCAAACTGTTGCATCACTGGCTGTTTTTTCCTGCATTAAAGAAAGGGCATCTTCTGTGTAATCAGGCCCTTGAATAAACAGCAGACATCTGAAATGTATAATATATACAGTGGGTACGGAAAGTATTCAGACCCCCTTAAATTTTTCGCTCTTTGTTATATTGCAGCCATTTGCTAAAATCATTAAAGTTAATTTTTTTCCTCATTAATGTACACACAGCACCCCATATTGACAGAAAATCACAGAATTGTTGACATTTTTGCAGATTTATTAAAAAAGAAAAACTGAAATATCACATGGTCCTAAGTATTCAGACCCTTTGCTGTGACACTCATATATTTAACTCAGGTGCTGTCCATTTCTTCTGATCATCCTTGAGATGGTTCTACACCTTCATTTGAGTCCAGCTGTGTTTGATTATACTGATTGGACTTGATTAGGAAAGCCACACACCTGTCTATATAAGACCTTACAGCTCACAGTGCATGTCAGAGCAAATGAGAATCATGAGGTCAAAGGAACTGCCTGAAGAGCTCAGAGACAGAATTGTGGCAAGGCACAGATCTGGCCAAGGTTACAAAAAAAATTCTGCTGCACTTAAGGTTCCTAAGAGCACAGTGTCCTCCATAATCCTTAAATGGAAGATGTTTGGGACGACCAGAACCTTTCCTAGAGCTGGCCATCCGGCCAAACTGAGCTATCGGGGGAGAAGAGCCTTGGTGAGAGAGGTAAAGAAGAAACCAAAGATCACTGTGGCTGAGCTCCAAAGATGCAGTCGGGAGATGGGAGAAAGTTGTAGAAAGTCAACCATCACTGCAGCCCTCCACCAGTCGGGGCTTTATGGCAGAGTGGCCCGACGGAAGCCTCTCCTCAGTGCAAGACACATGAAAGCCCGCATGGAGTTTGCTAAAAAACACCTGAAGGACTCCAAGAGGGTGAGAAATAAGATTCTCTGGTCGGATGAGGCCAAGATAGAACTTTTTGGCCTTAATTCTAAGCGGTATGTGTGAAGAAAACCAGGCACTGCTCATCACCTGACCAATACAGTCCCAACAGTGAAGCATGGTGGTGGCAGCATCATACTGTGGGGGTGTTTTTCAGCTGCAGGGACAGAACGACTGGTTGCAATCGAGGGAAAGATGAATACGGCCAAGTACAGGGATATCCTGGACAAAAACCTTCTCCAGAGTGCTCAGGACCTCAGACTGGGCCAAAGGTTTACCTTCCAACAAGACAATGACCCTAAGCACACAGCTAAAATAACGAAGGAGTGGCTTCACAACAACTCTGTGACTGTTCTTGAATGGCCCAGCCAGAGCCCTGACTTAAACCCAATTGAGCATCTCTGGAGAGACCTAAAAATGGCTGTCCACCAACGTTTACCATCCAACCTGACAGAACTGGAGAGGATCTGCAAGGAGGAATGGCAGAGGATCCCCAAATCCAGGTGTGAAAAACTTGTTGCATCTTTCCCAAAAAGACTCATGACTGTATTAGATCAAAAGGGTGCTTCTACTAAATACTGAGCAAAGGGTCTGAATACTTAGGACCATGTGATATTTCAGTTTTTCTTTTTTAATAAATCTGCAAAAATGTCAACAATTCTGTGTTTTTCTGTCAATATGGGGTGCTGTGTGTACATTAATGAGGAAAAAAAATTTACTTAAATGATTTTAGCAAATGGCTGCAATATAACAAAGAGTGAAAAATTTAAGGGGGTCTGAATACTTTCCGTACCCACTGTGTATATATATACATGTATACACACATTAAAGAATGAGTAAACAATGACAACACTAATGTCACACGCACACACGCATATACTGTACATACACTTCTCACAAAAAGTTAGGGATATTCGGATAAAATTTATGGAAAATGTAAAAAGTTACAGTGATATTATATCATGAAAGTAGGGCATTTAAGAAGAAGCATGAAATGGTAATTTCTTAATCTTAAACAATTTATTGAAACAAAAGCTAACAACAGTGGTGGGTATACCACAACAAAAAATGTCAATGTCTCAATAACTTGTCATGCATCCTTGAGCATCAATTACAGCTTGACAACAATGTCTCATGCTGTTTACAAGTCGACGTATTGTCTGCTGAGGCATGGCATTCCACTCTTCTTGAAGGGCTGC